CATTAAAAATCGATGGCAGAGTACCGCAGGAGGGGAGGGTAGAGAGGGGCTCTTGTGTGTGACCACGGGTTGGAGTAAAACGGCACTAGTGCTGTGAGCGCTGATTTGAAGTGAAGACAAAAAAAAAAAATGTGGAGGATACCTGTCGGAATATATAACCAACCAACTGTGCACATACAAAGTAAGGAGGATATGATTCCTCGGCGTAACTTGCCATCGGGAGAAGTGGCAAGTAAAACACCGAGGAGATTTGTCTCTTCCGGAGTCCATGGCCGATTGCCGAGGGAAGAGACGGAGAGCCTCTCCTCTCTCGACCCTCTGGTCACTCTTTTTCTACCTTCCCCTCCTCGTTACATCTCACGAAAAGGAAAAAGCCACCCTTTGCAGTGGGAGAATAATGCAAGGGCACCGGCCTCCGTCTCGGACAGGGACCAGTATCCTCACAAAAGGACGATAAAAAAAAGAAAAAACGACAAGAAAAAATTACAATAGTTGACGCACCTGTCGTTGAGCGCTCGCACCCTGAAGTCTCGCCCAGTGCCCGACAGCTCCAGCGGCGGGTCCGAGAAGCCCAGCGTCCAGCGCGCGTAGCGGCCGGGGAACTCGTACGAGGACGTGAGCAGAACGCCTCTCCTCGAGTCGAGGGCGTGGACGAGGTCTTCCACGCACTCCTCGGCGTGGGGCACGTCCATCACCTTATTCATCACCATATCGTTTTGCGTCAGTTGGACCAATGCGGATATGACAAGGTACCGAGCGGAGACCGGAACGGTTTTTTAAGTTTGAAGGCAACAACAACTACAACAACAAGAACAATCTTATTGGTTAGTAACAGGGTAGTTCGTTTTTGTGTGTCATTGTCTTGTTGTTTACTAGCGGGAGTGTTTTCTGAATTGTCCGGTCTTTGTGGAACGTGTACGTGTGGAATTTTTTGTGCCGTGGGTGCGCTTCTTGTTGTTCACGGTGGGCATATGTACCATACCGTGTGTTGGTCATAAGCGTAGCGGTGTTACTGCTTGATGGGTGTGTCTCTTTGCGTGTATCGTATCGTGAGGTCGGGGTGGCTAAGTGATCGTGTGTTTGCGATGTAGTACAAAAAGTGTCTTTGGTGTGGCAATCAACCGTTGTGTCTCGGATGGAATCATGAACCTCGAGTTTGGCATGCGGCAAAAAAGCACCACTAATTCTGCACGCCAAGTACCCTATATCTTCAGCAGCTGAGAAGCCAAGACTCAACATCTCACCGCACCTTCTACCAACCAACAAGAGCGTACGTTTCATATTAGCCCGACTATTTAGTAAACCCCGACCAAATGCAGTTGAGGAGTCGAGACTCAACATATCACCATACCTCTTACCAATCAACAGCAGGCGTATAATTTTGTGTATGCCCAGCTATGCAGGAACCCCGACACCAAAGCAATAATGACAATCACCCGGCTGCTGGTAGCCCCGAAAGGATGAGGCGCCGACGCTCCGGCGAGAGTTCATGTGGTGTTTACCACACTACAGGCAACAAGTCGTTGACACCGCTTACTTGCCTCCGCGGAGACCGTAACACGGCTACTATAAGAGTCAATGTATTGATGAGGCATCACCCAACCTCGTTCGTGAAGCTTGCTGCAGGTAGCAGCTCTTACCCGGCTACTCCTTAGGTGCAGATTGAACGCGCGGTAATAGCTGCCGCACACATACACCCAGCAGCGCGCATAGCGATGGTTCGTGTACACCCTGTCCGCTTTGTCCTGGGACATGCGAGAGTTCTTGCCACAGCCTCTCTTTCTGTCTCAGTCTCTGCCTCTCTGTTGAACGCCGCTCGCAATTGCCCACAAGCCACACCACCACACCGCCACGCACCTTGCAAGAAACCTCCACGTTTCCCTTCGTCGTGTAACCGTCAGTCCCGGGCCGATGGCGGGGCGCTCCTAGCGAAAGAGTTGCCGGAAACCCTCGCTGCTGGGCCGTCTGGTAGTTGGCAGAGAGTGGAGGCGACGGGGGCGAAGGAGGAGAATGCAAGCGCGGTTTCTTAAAAGAGAGAGAGGAAGACAGGAAGAAAGATAATGGTAAGCGCGCGAAGCGCCAGAGTGGGGGGGGCAACGAGTAGTAGCCAATTCGATTTGGAACCCGAAGGTGCATTTGCACCGACCGTCCAGTTACAGCACCAAGTGGGCGTGGCTGTGGCGTCTACCTACGGGGCGCAAACCTCCCCGCCGGGATGATGGCACTCACGCTCCCGGCCGGCAGATCTTGCGTCTACCTACGGATATTGAGCTTGGGTCAGTCCACATCGTGTTATGGTAGCCCTGCACCGCGACTCGTTTCTCGGCCGTGGCGCAGTCGCTGAAATACCTCCGGGCTGTGTGGAGAGGCCAGGGTACGGCTGTATTTCCTTAGCTGGTACATACAAACTGCAGAACGTCCGGACCAATCCAATCCACATAGAAGGCCGACCTGTACGATCGGCCACGCTGAGCGGACCTCGCCACATACATGCGCGAGAGGAATTGCGCCTCTGTTGGATGGTCGGTGTCTTGTCGGTTTCACCTCTATACACGTGAAGTCAGCTTCATAACGGAAGCAGGGATTCCATGCTGGTATGCCATTTTCCCATATTTTTGCTACGTGTTGTGTGCTTATAGGTGTACCGCATATGGAAACGCTACATGGCGGTGATGTATGTCCTTGTGTTCAATCGGACGTGCTGACTACACATGAAAGGTTTGAGTATTGGGCATAGGTACCCAAGTCTGCTTCGAGCATGCGGCGTACACCTGCTGTATGGAGCTCAGGGAATAGTATATATGGCATTGGCAGCTGTCCGTGGTAGGGAAACGGAATCGACCACAGCAATGAAAGACGTTAATAAGAAGGCAAATCCTCGTGCGGCGCGCGCGGCTCTGGCCATGCCTGCGGCGGAACAACAATGGGACGCTGTTGAACATGAAGAGGCAGCTTGCTGTGTGGAACTTTCCCGAGAGCAAGCGACGCACGAACAACATATCCAGGACCGCGACCCGCATGTGCGTGCGCCTACCCTCTTGTGTGAATGACGATGCAAGCCACAAATACACACCCCTCTTTCCTGTAGGATCCAAGTGGCACATACAGCAGTAGCAGTACCATTCACCCGCGAACCTAAGAAAAGCAATCCCTCTCCCGACAACAACCACCGTTCCCTGTCGGCAGCAGACCGGTCTCGGCGGTGCTCGTGGTGGCTGAGTTCTGTACTCACCCTAGCAGTGTTTGCCGCAACCGGAGGGGGCATGGCTGCCGCGCCGTTGACCTGAGTCAAGTCCTCAGAGACGTCGGCACCGTTCAGCCTCGACGAAGCCATCGTCAACCGCTGATGCTGGTGCTGGTGCTGCTCGCCGTGATTCCTCGTTCCCGCAGGTCTCGCCGCCGTTGGTGCTGCATGCCTCTCGCCTGGCGATGATGATTCGAGTTGGCGCGGAGGGCTCCTTGCTGCCACGCCGCCACGGTTGTCGACTACCAGGGGTGGCGCAACGAAGGCGTCTGCTTCTAGCGTGGGTGTATACCGCCAACCTACGGCGCAGCAGAGAAGTGCGATCGTAGACAAGCGCGGCGTCATTGAAAAGCTTACTTGCACACCGCGAAGCAGCTTAGTGTGCTGTGTAGTCTCGCTGCTCTCTTGTTTCTCCTCGTCCACCTCGCGTCCTCTCTCTTTTCTCTATCCCTCGCTGACAACCTCGCTCACGGCCTTTCCCTTGGTATGCCTGTCGGCTGGCCAATGCTCTGTCCACAGCGCTCTGCAACGAATAACGAATGATAAACTCCCGTGTGCTGGGTCGCATGCACAGCACCAAGCACATGGGGGGATTTCTCGCGCGAAAAACGAATACTTCGTACCCCGCATCTCCACCGCGTGCCCCCCATCTCCGGTCTCCTCGTCTTGCTGGTGGTCTCTTCTTCTTTCTCTCTCTCTCTTGCTCCTTGCTCCGCTGGTCCTCTCTGCTCTTCGCTGTTCCACACTCTGTCTCCGGAAGGAAAGGAATCTCAAGGAGACGTCTCCGGCACCCCAAGGCATACCTGCGATCCAGCAGCGCTGATGGGGTCGTACCACGGTGCGCCTATGGGGACGGCGTTCCCGGAAGGGTGAGCAGCAGTCGTCGTCGAAAAGAGAGCAGGTCGAAAAACGAAAAACCCCGAAGAGCCAGGATCCAAGTAAGCCCGCCTGCCCCCCCGCTGCCTCAAAAACATGTCAAAAAGGTTGATCAGTCCTCCATCTCGGGTGTCCTCTCTTGAGGAGGCACCACCCTAGCTACAGATGTCACAAGACGAGGGGGGTGGGCACGTGTGATGACACTCCTCCAGCAGGAGGCGGCCTCTCGAAAATTCTTTCTCGTACCACCACGTGCGGACTCGTCTGTGCTGGTCGAATTTTTTTTTTGTGATCTTTCTCTTACGGTCGAACCACACCCCAACCAGCGTTCTGGAGCACAACCAGCCAGCCGTTGTCTCGCTGCTCGGCGCGATTCTGTACCGCAGCAGTGCCGAGCGTTCGCTCAGAGATCAACTTGCCTTTCTGCTCATTCGCACCACAACTCTACAGGTGTGAGTGCTCGTGTACATCGTAGAACACAGAAGAGTGTTTGTAGCCTGATGAAATGACGGGTAAGACAAAGACCCTCCTTCTTTTTTGCCATAGGGTGAATTGAAATAGTGTGTACCCTACATACTCCAGAGAGAGATGGGGGGGGGGGCGGAGACGGAGAGGGAGCTACCCAGTATATGTACCATGCTCTCTCGATGCCTCTGGGCAGCTACAAGTACGCACCTACAACGTATCACTGCTGCTACGTCGATACTGCAATAATATTGCATTGTTTCAACCAGGGTTGTTGACCAACCGGGTGCGGCGGAAGGAAGCGTTGGCGTTGCAATTCACCTTCGGCACAATAATGCAACCGTTCGTTTTTCTGTTGTATGCTATAGTCCATGGATGCACACTCAAGTGCTCTCGTACATACAGACAGGTACAGGTAGAGCGTTTGAGGAGGCTCCTCGCTGGCCGGCGCAAACGTTAGTTACACACAACGCGCCACCAATTTCGCTGACCTATCCGCTTGTTTGTGGGCATCCTGGTCTAACCGTCGCGGCTTTAGTCCCTCTCTGGTGAGAGGAAACCACATACAACAGAGAATATTTGGGTTTAGTGTGGGGGTGTTCCAAGTTCTTACAGTTTATGAGAAATTAAATTGAACATATGTACTGCTGTAGTTGCACCCTCAAGTTCTCCAAATTGCACGAGGGTGTGGGCGCATGCCTGAGACCCCGTTTCCTCTCTGAAGAAGGCAAAGTCCGCGTGCTCCACAGCAGTCTAGCCTACGTGATGAATGCCGCGCTGCTTTGCCTGCCGCCGCAGCTCGTGTTGCCCGCCATCGACGACACACTCTATGTCGATAGTAACGCCCGATCATCAAGCACTCCACCCGTCACGCGAGGAAAAAGGCCATCATGTTGAACCGCACCAAAACTACTGCTGAACCACCCGCCCAGCAGAGCGCCCTCAGAATTCATCAAACAATACCCTGACTTCGATCCCATCGCGCAAAAACGAACGATGGTGCGTCTTGACGGCGGCGGTGGCGGCGACCATTTTTTTAGGGTCCTCGACGTGGACAACGGCTCGGAAGATGAGGCTGGGTCTCCTTCGCCCACCGGTCGTCCACCCAGCCGTAGCGGCGGCAGCGGCAGCGAGACAACGGGGGCGGCGGCGGCAAAGATGGTCAAGAAAAAAAATGACACCCAGCAGCCCAACAGCCCCGCCAGGCTCCCCGCTGCTCCTTCTTTCGAGCAAGGACAGCAGCAGCAGCAGCAGCAGCAGCAGCAGCAGCAGAACGCGAAGGTAAGGGCACGAGGCGTTCCTGGCGAGGAGGAAGGTGTGGCGGCGAGAGGCGGTGCTGAGAACGGCGAGGGCGGGGCTTCCGCTGCATCTGACTCTGAAGGCACCGGTAGTGATGATGGTGAATACGGCGCAAGGGGTGCAGAGGCCTCCGGCACCGCCGACGGGACGCCAGCAGCATTGCCATCGGCAACAATAACGACAACAACGCCTACTACTGCCACCAACAACGCCGCGGGAGAAGAGAAAATGGCGCCATCAGCTGAGGTTGCGGCAAGAGGCCAAGGCTCGGCGGCTGGAGGAGGAGAAGGAGGAGGCACAGCAATGTCAGAATCGGAGGCTGGTGAAGAGGTACTCAAGGTTAGCAAGGCGGCTACCTCCCCCCCCCCCCCTGCTGCTCATCTCGTCACGGGGCGCCCCTCTTTGGGAAGGAGTTCCGGCCAAGGGGGAGAGCCGCTTGACCCGGCCGGCCTCGACGACATGGCGCTGCTTGATTCGGTCGGACTGGGATCGTCTGGGTACTCTGGACAGGAGGTACGAAAATAGCAGTTATTGCTTCCAGCGGCGGAGGATACGCCGGGGTATGTTCAAAGTATTTGGCTTGCCTGTGAGGCCTGTGACAGCTCGTTGAATCTGCATCCCTCTCGAGACAGAGGACCAATATTGTGTTCAGAGACATACCCACACTTTCATGGAATCATTGGCAAGCTTCCATGAAAGTCAAAAGTCAACCAAATTCCATGGAAGTCAATACTTTCATAGCAGTCAATACTACGTCCATGGAAGTAAAAAACCTACACACAATTGTCAAAGAACTTTGGAGATCGGAGACATACCTCAACTCTAGTTGGATCCCGTTCTTTACATGAGCATTGACATTAACACGGGGGGGGTAGTCCGTGGTACGTTTGCTCCTTTCAAAGAGACCTCCGCTTAGTGTTGAACTTTAACAACGCGTGTGTGTAGAAATGTTGTCGCGGCACCTACTGCGTAGGGTATCGACATAGGGGGCTTCGATGTGTGTTTCTGAATGGGCTGCGGTCTTGGCCACCTCGTGCGTTTGGGGGACATGCCAAGTCAAGGCATTTTTCGGTAGCGACCGTGTTCGATTTTGGGAGTCCGGATGAGAGGCTAGCTTAACTTTGTGAAATAGGAGTCACCATGGGGGCCAGCTCAATCCTTGAGAAATGTCTCGGGTTTGGTTGTTTGGGGGGAGGGCCTCGGTATGGTCACACAGCGCCTGTTTGTCCTGGACACAACCATGCCTGATGTCGCTAAACTAGCGTCATCGCCTGTTGCTGTTGCGGGAGAGTGGTCGTCGGTGTGTCTTGCGTCATTGTGGCACGGTGGTGCCTGTTATCTTCTCGTCTTGATGCACTTTCAAGCACTTGTCCCTTGTGCTGTCCGCACACTCTCGTTTCCCCTCTCCTTCGCATTTTCGTTGATTTTTTTGTTCAACACTACAGGCTTGGGACGTGCGCAGCAGGGACGCCGTTGCACGCACTCTCCTGACGGTTTGCAGGAGGGGCTACAACGCGCAGGATGTCAAGAAGGTTATCGAGGGAATGTGAGAGCATCTACCGCTTGCCTGCTACGGTTATTCTCGCCCCTCCTCCGTACCCCTTCATCGCCCCTTCCTCCCTCTCCTCATGTTTTGTGTTTTCTTCTCGAGGGCACTACAAGATTTCTTTCAACCGATGGGTGAAATGTTATTGCTGGTGGCAACGGGCCGCAGTCTTCGGCTGCTTGTCTGGTCATTTGTGGGTCCGTTTCGCCTACCGTTCTATCTTTCAGTTGCTCTGTTTTGTTCTACCTTTGTCTCCCCAGAATCTCCGCACACATATCAGCAGACCAGAAGAAATAAGTCCTGACACAAAAAACCAAACTCCGGTGCGCCGCTGTCGGGCAGAGCTTAGCCTCGCAGAGGAGCCACAAGGCAACACATACTACAGAGGTAGAATACGGCACGTAAGAGGGAAGCGCTGCCCAGGCATGAACGACACTTTCCGACCAAATAAAGCGTAACTGTCCTGTACTCGCCGTTCGAAGGGATGGGAGTGCTACTGACGCCACTTGTAGCGGTACGCAACGAGCCAGCCTCGCTATCTCTCTTAGGGGGGGATACACAATGTCTGTCTTCTCCTACTCTGTTGTTTTACAGTATCTCCTCCTCCCCTGTCCAGATCGAGAGAGAAACAGCGCACCAAAACCGTTTGTAAGCAACGGTTCTTAAGGCATACTTCTTCTTCACAGCATACAAGTGTTCAGGGCGGTGACACGAGAAGCCCACCGTGCGGTGGAAACGGTCGACAATGCGAGAACAAGCATGCAGGCGTAACTGCGGCTGGCCTACGCGCGCCTCCAACCGTGGTGGCGAGCAACGTTGTTGGTGCCAGATACACAACGCCTCCCGCTTATGAACTATTCCCTGCCTTTGGTCACCTCCCTTTCGCTCACCCCCCCCCCCCACCTTGTTACTCTCCCCCCCCCCCCTGCCTCGTCCTATCCTTCGGCCCCCTCCGGCGACCGCCCTCGTGCACTCCACTACTGTTTCTCTCTGAAGGTGGGAGATGGGCGGCGTTGGCGTCTCCTTTGACGACCCTGACACCGTTGAACACCAGCTCCGATACGAGTCGCGCCCTTCTTCTTCTGAATCTTCCGCTCACAGCGGCAACAACGGCGGCGGCGAAGGTCGCGAAGATACCACAGCTTCTCCCCTTGTTCCTTGCGGAGACGTGGGTGGAGGAGCGGAGTCGGGGCCGGCTGTGCCCCACTCCCTGGGCAGAGACATGAATGACAACGGCAGCGGCGGCGGCAGCGGCGTCAGTGGCGGCCGCGGCGGCGACGGACACGCTGGCCCTGCCACGGCCAGCGGAGGGCGGGGTCTAGATCATGAGTGCCGCGCGGCGCACGCTAACGGTCACGTCGACGCCGACGACGGCGGCGGCGGCGGCGGCTGCCTTGCCTCGTCTTCGAGACAGCACAGCGGTGGTGACCGCGGTGGCGGTGGCGGTGGCGGGGAGGGTGGCGACAGGGAGATGGAGACAGCGAAACCAATTTCGGCAAGCGGGGCGACGGTTCCTCGTGCGCAGACGATAGAGGTGAGAGAAAGAATCTGGAGATCAGGCTCCGCAGTCTCTAGGCGGAGGGTATATGTAGCATGCGTGGTTGGGGCGAGGAGACGGGTGGTTCGGTTGCGGATGCGATCCGTATTGTTGTTATTTTCTTCGACTCTGCCTACGGCTGGTTGTGGCTTGTCGTGAAAGCGAGACGCAAGGAGGAGAATGAAGAGAAGAGGGAGTGGTCGGACGGAAAAAATAGGAAAGCGTGAGTCCATCAATCCTTGCACGCCCCCGCACACACACTCATTCATCAGCAAGGGAGGGTTCTACAAGCGTAAAGGGTGTAGAGGTTGCCTCAACCCGGTGGAGCCAAGGTTCCATGGTTGAGCAAGTCGACCAATCACGACAGCCCGACACACCAACCCCCCCGCCAAACTCTTGATGCAAACCGACCAGGGTACACTGGAATCGATCGCGTCGGGAAAAAACACAGGGGCGGCCCTGGTCGCGATGGGAAAGTGGGCCGCCCACCGCCGCCTCCTCCTGCGGCCGCCCGGGGTAAGCGCCGTCGAGCCGCTGTCCCCCCTGTTTGATTCCGCCGCGCTGCCAGCCGTTTTCGAGAAGCTGCTTCTCCTCGCTTCGGCAACGACAGGAACGATGTCCACCGGTGGTGGTAGCGGTGGTGACGTTGGAAATGGCCAGCAGCAGCAGCAGCAGCAGCAGCAGGGGGATGAGGAAGGTTTGTTGGGGGAGGCGAGGGCCGGGCTGGACGATCTGCTGCGCTGGGCGATGCCCAACCTGGTGAGTGAGGCGTGTTCCTGTGTCTTAGCCTTGGTGTGTTTTAAAGTTGGTGCGGTGTAGCAGCGCCGGTCTCGAGGTTTTTCGTTGCGCTGCGTCTGCGGTCGCCGGGTACGTAGGGGGTCTTTTTATGCGTGTTGTGTTTGCTTTTAGCGGCGGGCAACAAAGGTTCGTCTGGTCTTTTGTTTTTCTTTTGTCGTCGTTTGAGAGGGCACCACGGCAGATGCCCCGGCTGCAAAGCACAGCCACGAGTTTCGCGCGCCGGTCTGCCGGCAAGACGCCCGTCTATTTAGTCTTGGTGCGAGTGCGTGCTGAAAATTCTTTGCCGCCACCATCGAGTGGTTCTTTGCCGTAACTGGCATTTGCCACGTAGCTACACTTGGTTTGGGCCCTGGAGTAGCACTAAAGGAGACAAGTAGAGGCAGCACGTCAGCACTACTAGAGCGCTCACCGCGACACAAGAAGAGGGCAAGCTTGTACTGCCTCTTATCTGTCTTGTTCAACTGCACCCCAAAAATAAACTATAGCCTATGTACCTCAAAATCGTAAGGTTCGGGTGGGGCTCCGAGCAACCCGTGCCATCTCCGGCAGCCCATACGACCCCCATCTCCCCCTTATCCCTTCCATCTACATGCCCCCCCCCTTGTGGTATCGACAGGATAGATAGGATAAGGAAAAATTGATTGAGCCACCTGTTGGCAAAAAAAAGCGGGAAGGAACGATTGGCCGATGGGGATCGGTCCTGTGGGCACAATGCTCCGTCCTCTCGAGGACGCATGGTCAATGGTCTAACAACTACGGCATGCAAAATTGAGTACGCCCCCCTGCGTCCTCTCGAGGACACGTGGTCAACGGTCTAACAACTACGGCATACGAAAACATGAGTACCACCCCCCGCACCCGGCCCCCCTTGTCACGAGAGCAGGATGGCGGTGCCCCCGACGGTGACAACCCAGGCGCCCAAGCGGTGGGCTGGCACTGCTGGGAGTTGGTAACCTCTGTCCGGCGTTTGTGTTCGCACGGCGACGGCGTTCCCCTGACCCCGGATGCCGCGCGCCTGCTGTCCCAGAAGCTGGTAAGTTTCTTTGGCGAGGATTTTTGCATTTTTCTTACTTCGTGTGACCCACGGGGAAGCCGTGCGAGCTCATTCTCAAGGCATAATTATTCTGCTGCTTTTTGTTTTTTGGGGTGAGGCTATGACAGCTTTTCTCGATTGTCGGTCGTCTTTTTTTTTTCTCCTTGATTTTTTTTTTTTCTTCTTGTCGTCCCACCACCACCACTACTCTCCTACGGTTTATTGACCAAACATTTTGATTCCATATTTTCTCCCTATTTTTTTTTGCTGTGGTTTAGGTGGACGAGCTGCGGGCTCACCGGAAGGAAGCCCTTCGGGTGGAGCAGCGAGCCGCCGCCGCCGCTGGCATATCCGCCATGGCAGCGGCGGCCTCGGCTAAATGCAACGGCATCGGCGGCGGCGGTGGCGTACCGGGAAAGCGGGGTATCCCGATGCAGGAGCTCTTCCGGCAGAGGTAACGGGTTGGCACTTGATTGAGCTAAAACAATGGGGCTTGGTTGGGGTAGTTGGCTGAGTGCACTGGTTTGGTCCTCCTGAGAAACAGCAGTCAGTAGTGCCGCGCGTTGCAGAAAACTCTGTCCCTATTGCTATTTTGACTGATTTACGCTTCCCCCCCGCTAAGTACACTGGTGCTACATGTGCCCCCCCATCCCACCCATTTTCTCTAGGTATCATTTCGTATGTCCTGTGTGTTGGAGCGGCCTAGTGGTGCTTTCGTGTAGTGACCATACGCTACGATGTCGAGATTTTGTTCCTATCCAACAGAGTCCACCTTCGGTATTTTCAGGCCCTCTCAAAGTACTTGTTTTTCACATGCTTTTTTTTTTCTTCTTTCTCGCTGTCTCTGTTTCTGTCCCATGTCTCAACGAAAACTAGCATGCATACGTTTTCAAACTCCGTATGCATCCGTGGAAGTTGATTGAGTTTTTGGGTTCGCGCTCCTACTCTCTCTCTCTCTCTCTCCCTCTCTCACCCCCCCCTCATATACACTCTCTCTCTCTCTCTCCTTCTCTCCTCCCCCCCCCTCTCTCCTTCGCCCCTCCCCTTCTCCCTGTGCGCAATTTTTGAGAGCAGGGAGTTGAGACTCGAGGCGGCGTCGGCGTTGGGTCAGGTCTGCATCGTCACTTCCTCCATGGCGACCCCTCCGTCTTCATCATGCCCCCACCCACCGCAAGCCGCGGACAACAATGACAACAACGGTAGCTCTTCTTCGATGTCGCACCAACAGCGGCAGCAGCACCCGCCGCCGCCGCCGCCGCCGCCTGGATCCCCGCCGTCGGAAGATCCGGATCTTTCGAGGGCCTTGCTGCGGGCGGCGCACCCTCTTTCCCTCGCTCTGGTTGCAGCGGACGAAGGAGGGGAAGGTGAAGAGGAGGAGGATTGTGGCGGTGGTGGTGGTGGTGGAGGGGGAGGAGGAGGAGGAGGAGGAGGAGGAGGAGGAGGGGGAGGAGGCGGTGATTGTTGTGCGGTTGAGTCGAAGCCGTCGTCGGAATGTGTTAGTGGTGGTGGTCGTTGTGGTGTTGTTGTTGTTAGTGATGTTGTTGTTGGTGCTGGTGATGTTGATATTGATGTTCGTGGTGGTGGTGGTGGTGGCGGTGGCGGTGCGGCGGGGGAGGGGTTGGTGGTGCAGCTCTCTCGGGGGAAGGACGAGGTGGAAGCGTGCCGCGCTCGTCTGCGGAGCCTCGAGGAGGACGCGGAGAGGGAGCTCGAGCCCCTTGACGCCGCCGTTGCGGAGAGCGGCGCGAGGCTGGACGTGCTCGCGGAGCAGCGCAGGAAGATTCAGGAGCAGCTGAGAACGGTTCGTGTTTTTTTAATTGTTTGTGTGTTTACTTTCACTTATTTGTGGGCATCGACAACTGCTGTGTGTGCGTTTTGTGCTTGTTGTGTGTGATTCTTTTCACTTAGCGGTCATGGATCAACTGAAGTTGGTGTGCGTGTTTCATGTGTGTGTTTTTGTTCATTCAGTGGGCACGACAACTAAAATCGGTATTCGTGTGTTTCTATTATTCTTCGTCTACCGCGCTTACCACCAGAGCTGACCAACGAACAGAAGGCGATTGAGGAACAAGTAGCAACATAGGCCCTCGAATAGGGAAACAAACATTTACAAAGAGTTAAAACGTGGGTGTGCACGTGCGTGTTTGTGTGCGAGAGAACGACGGGGGGGTTGTAAGTCCGTTTGACCCTCGCTGTCTGGAGGGTACTTGATGCCCGAAATTAAGAAGTTTGTACCCCATGCTGACCTGTATGATGGTGTTCAGTCCCTCTTCCCCTGCTGGACCGACCTCCCTCTGTACATGTAGGCGGAGGAAATGATCGAAGCTGAGCAGCAGGTACGCGGGCGGGCGCTTGCCGAAGCGGGGGCGACGCGTGCAAAGTTTGAAGAGCGGAGGGGGATGGAGGCCGAGAGGCTCAGGAAGTGGGAGGACGCAGTCAGGTAAGCATCGTGTCTGGCTGGTTTACCGCGATGAACGGGGGATAGCGGTCGGGCGAAAGTATTGTTGTTGCCGCAGGTAGCTTGTTGGGTGGAGACGTTATTCACGCCGTGAAGCTGGTGGTGGTGGTGGTGGTGGTGGCGGCGTTGTCGTTGTTGTTGTTGTTGTTGGTGTCGATGTCGTCGTCGTCGTTGGTCGTGATGATGCTATCGTTGTCATGACTGCATCACTCGGCAGCCTAGCGATGCCCTCGCCACCACCACGACGTCGGCGTAACGGTTTTCCGACGGGGTCTCCGCCTGCGGAGGCGTGGTCCAATCGTTTCGTTACTCTTGGATGAAACTTGCCCGTCAATCTGTTCCGTGGGAGCGATCAGGTATTTTCGGTGCAACGTCTAATTTTCTTTCCCCTCCTCGCTTCCTTCAATCCAGCTATGTCAGGGAGTGCCAGAACATCCCGTCTATCTTCTCCAATCTCCGGAGATACTTGGAAACCCAGCTGGCGTCGGCCTTGAGCGGCGTGTTTCCGGGGGGGGGCGGGGGGGCGCAGTCTGCGAGCGCTCTGGGGGCTTACACGGATTCGTTGCAGGTAGGCTGGGGTATCAACGCTCCGTGTATTGGTTTGGTTTTGGTTTCACTTTTCTTCAGTTGAAGCAGCATGGCTTCTTGTTCTTCATTCTCTTCTTGTGCTTTTCCATCCTTCTCGTGCTATCCTTCTTGTTGTCTTCTCGCCTTTTGTTTACTATTAAATATAATATCAAGCGATGGAACCATCATCGTGTTAAGGTGTTTGGTAACACAGATGTTGTCAGCGATCTAACGTCCAAATCAAGAGAGGTAGCACTATGCGTGACATCCAGGGACAGGACAGACGCGTGGACGGACGAACAGAGGGAAAAAATGGTGCCGTTGTCGGCACATTCCCGTATTTTCCGCCCCCTCCTACCTCAAGGCTGCCTCTCTATCCTTGGTCCAAGCTCGTGCGAAGAGCAAAAATGGCAGAATCGACCCCATGCCGTGAAGAAAACGAAACACCTGGCCTTCACCGTTGAGAGGCATTCCTCTCAAGTTGCCTGATTCTTCTTTGGTGTGCACCACGACATCTGTTCGTCTGTCTCACCCGGCCTCTAAATGCCCAGTAGCGGCACGGAAAACGGTTGTCTAGGTCAGCTGTGTGTGGTGGTGCCTACATGGTCGGTAGTGAGTGAACTACAGCATGGGCTTACATGAGAGTACCCGAGGTCAATGGTCTAACGTCCACGGCATGCACGGCTATGAGTATCCCGTTGATCCCATTCATTCCTCGTGTGCGTCAAACAGGCGTACCTTGAGACGGAGGCGGAGTGCGTCCGGCGACTGCGCGAGCGTGCGAGGGCGGAGGAGGCCGAGGTGGCGGCCGTAGAGAACGAGCTGGTCGAGTACGAGGGGCTCGACATGCCCACCCTGGTTAGAACTCCCAACACCCCAAGACTTGAATGTTTTGACGTATCGGACATTCTGTACTGCAACAACGTCTTCCTTTGGCGATAAGGTTACCTCTTAGGAGCACCCCGTGTGCTCTCCCCTATCAGTACCAATTCTTCATTCATGTCGTGGATCGTACAGGCAACCCCCTAGTACGTGTCCCTGATTCGTTTCCGCGCCTCTTCGCTTGAAATGCACGAAGTAGTTGAGTGAAACGACAAGGGCGATCAAAGCTTGTTTCCTGTTGATTACTCTCCGAGTTAGTTGTGTTGATATCTGTCTTCTTCTTGTCGCGAAAAGCACAAGTCCTTATTCATGATTCCCATCGGTTGCTCTCCGACTCCTGCTGTACATTTTTTTATTGATTTTCCCTACAAAACACAAAATCCAGACGACGGGGCTCCGCGCCAAGATGCAGCAGCTGCGCAGCGAAGTAGCCGAGGACCGGGAGGCCGAGCATGCCATCATGTCCCAGGCCAGGCACCAGTTCGCGGTCCTCGAGAGTACCCTCTCCGCCTACAACAGCACCCGCACCACGGGCTGCTTAGTTAGCGAGGCTGGAGGATACGGCGGCGGCGGCGGCGGAGGCGTGGGTGGCGTGGCAGCGGGTGTCGGTAGCGGCACCGCTGGGCTGGATTATCCCCGGCCTCCGGATGTGTCTGCGGCGACAGGAAAGAAGAACTCCGGCACCAGTGCAGCTTCTTCTGCTGCTGCTGCTGCTGGTGGTGCTTCTGGTGCTAACGGTAGCGCCGGCGCGGGCAGCCTAGAGGGATCTGCTGCGGCTGCAGGCGTGGCCAGGGTGAGGGAGATGTTCGCGCTGCTCGAGGTCGTCGGCAGCGGGGGGGAGGAGCCGCTCGCCGTCGGCGGCGGTGGCCAAAGCGGCGGTGATGGAACCAAGACGGCGGCAGAGGGCCTCGCAGGGGCGGACGGCAACAACAACAACAACAACAACAACAACAACAACAACAACAACCGGGCCTTTGGCGAAGCGGCAGGAGGGGTAGCGCTACCGCCAGCGGGTGCGAGGGATGCCCGTGCCCAATCCAGCGGAGTTGCTGCGACGCCGTTTGGCCAGGCGGGGGAACTCGAGGGCCACCAAGGGCCCAACCGACGGCAGGGCAACAGTCACGGCAACGGCGGCAGGTACGGTGCGGTGGGTACAGAAAGGGGGGTAAAGCTGTGGTGTCAGAGCTATATTTTGTGCTGGTCCCCCGGGCGTCGAAGCTCGCTCGGGTGCGCTGGGAGGGTGTAGAGGAGGGCGAAAGAAGAAGAAGAAGAAGGTCGCGTTCTTCGGCGAATGAGAACGTTTTAGAAGTACTACAGTAGTACTCGGTAGTTCCAAACACCCGACTGGATCCTAGACTCGCCCACTAGGGCATGGGTATGAACATCACGAGTGTCGCTTGCTTGGCAAGTAGTATCTGTATTGTCCCGGGATCTAGGTGCCTAGGCAGGGCCCCCACAGGCTTTACTGGTGCCCCACTCCCCTCCGTCCACGTTTTCACCACCCTCACGCCCCCCCCTATCTCTGTCTTGCGTGCCTCTTCTGGTAACAAAAACCACAAACATGAGCAGGCCGCGAAACCCGGCCCCGCCGAGGATCCGAGGAGGCGTTCGCCTTCCCTCGCCGTCGCGGGGCGGAGGGAACTCACTCGAAGGCCGGCTCAACTGGCTCGACAACGGCGCACCTAGCGCCAGCGGGACAGACAGAAGCAGCACCGCCCGTACCCCGGAGGGCTCCGCCGCCGCCAACAACAACAACAGCAACAATCACAACAACGACAATGCCGGCTCGAAGACCAAGGCGGTGTCGGTCTCGGCGGCGGCCTCGCGCGGCGGTAGAGGCGGCAGTCGTAGCAGCGCGAGCGGGGGGCGTGGACGCCGAGGGGAGCGGGGCAGCAGCGGCAGCAGCAGCATCAGCAGCGGCAGCAGCAGCAACCAACGCTTGGACTCGCCCGCCGGCAGGCAGGATCGTGGCAAGCGCAACCCGGCGGCCGCCCGGGCGCGGAGCGCCGCCGGCGGCGGGGACTGCAGCAGGAGCAACAGCGGCAGCGCGTCCCACGCGCCGTCGCCTAGAAGCGGGAGCGGCGGCAGCAGGAACTCGACGCCGCCGCCATCAAAGCTTGGAAGAGGAGGAGGTGGTGGTGGAGGAGGAGGAGGAGCAGCCCCCCCTCCCTTCTCGACCGCTGCCTCGGTTGCGGCCGTCGCGGCTTCCAAGGGTATCGCAGGCGGGTCGAGGGCGAGTCGGCAGAAGGCTGCTTCGCCGGCGGTGCAGGCGCAGGGTGGGGCTAAGCGGCCGGGAAGAGGCGACGGCGACGGTGGCAGCAGCGTTCCCGCTGAGAAACGCTCCGGCGCGCCGCCTGGCAGTGGTGGTGCCCGCTCCGTAGCTCCTGCCGGAGAGGGAGGAGGAGGAGGAGATGGAGAAGGAGAAGGAGGAGGGAGAGGCGGTTCGGGTAGGCAGAGCGGCGAAGACGCGGCGGATAGGGCGCGGAAGGAGAATGGTGGTGGTGGTGGTGGTGCGAAGGGTGGCCGACGGGGGGGTCAGAAAAAGGGGGGCGCGTCGGCCAGGGGCAGCAGGGGTGGAGACGCGGGGAAGCCGTCGAAGCCGCCGGAGGTGAGTTTGTTGTGGTTCTTGTTTGGCCTCTCTTTTTTGGGGGGCGTTCTTGGCTTTCTTCGCCTCTACAGGGTGGTGTAGTCTACGGCGGTATTGATCGCTTGCCAAGAACTGCTACTGCTGTGTAGCCCCCCCCGGCGCAATGCGCGCTTCCTCGAATAATAAGAACGATAATTAAAGCCAGTCACAACCATCAACGGTTTGCGCGCAACTCGTCGCTATCTTGGTACCTTTTTTTTCCCGTTCCTCTTTTCTTTCCAGGAAACCACGAGCCCGGCCGCTGCCTCCCACTGATGCGCGCGTGCGAGGGAGAGAGAGACGACGAGGAATATAGTCTACAGAGACCAACGTGTACTGGTTCACCCATCGAAAAGAAGCATGTTCTGCCGGGGGGGGGGGCTTAGTCGGAAACCAAGGCAAGAAGAACGCATCGCTACTGTTTTACGACGACGCTGGTGGAGGCAGCCACTGAAGCGAGGGGTTGGTGTGTGTCTGTGAACACAGGTGGGCCAGGGAAGGGCGGGTGGGGGATCAATCAACAAGCAGCGTCTGGTTGAGTGGTTGCTGTGTGGCGCGAGACGGAAAGAGTCAGAGCGGGAGGAGAAAACGTTACGTTTTATCTCTCTTTTTTTTTGTGTGTGTGTGTTGATTGACTGCCTCGTTGTAGACAGGGCGCAGGAGAAAATTGAAGTGGCGGGTTGTTTCTAGAGAAAAGAAGGGCGTTGGCTGATGATAGCGGAGAGCCGGTTTGGGATCGGCAACGCGTTTTTTGGAAGACGTGCTCGGTTGATGAGGCAGGGAGGAGAAAAGGTTTGTTGTCGTTGTTGCATGAAAATCATTTGCCGTTTTGCTCGTGAGGCAGGAAAAGAACAAAGTTGTGTTGTGGTTGTTGCGTTTGGTACAGTTTAGCCGTTGGAAGGTTCTTATTATCTCCGATGGCATTCATTAATGTTCGGGTGCTGCATTCGCAGCAATCAGTGCAGCAGGTGTGGTTGGTTCACCGCGCAAGTACTTGCTATTATTGTCTTTCTGTTGTGCTGTACATACTTCTCCGACCGAGTTGTGCAAATGCGGGGGGGGGGGGGTTCTCATGTTGCCAGAAGGAAGGACATGACATGTCACGGAGCTCGCCCTGGGTGTGCGATAGCGCATCGATCGATGCCTCGTTCGATACATACATACACTAGCGTCGTTCCGGCGCTCATGATCCTTCCGGGTTGGCAAAACTTCACTGAGGGATGGATACTCAATGGCATGCAGAGAAGAGAAGGACAGCCTTGACTGATGATAGGGGGGGGCGATGGAGAAGTATGTAGGTTTTGGGTCGGGAACACGTTTGTTTGGAAGATAGATAGATGCGCTCGGTGAAATGAAGACGGAGACGGTCATGGGGCAGGGACGAACAAAGTTTTGTCGTGGTTGTTGCATACTTCAAATTATTTGCCGTTTTGCTTGTGAGGCGGGAAGACCAAAGCTTTGTTGTGGTTGTTGCATATGGTACAACTTTTTGCCGTTGCAGATTCTTGATATCCCCAACATGGCATTCATCCACTGCTCGAGTGCTGCTTTCGCAGCCATCAATGCGGTAGGTGGTTCACAAGGCAAGTACTTTCTACTTCTCTTTGTTGTCGTTGTGCTATTTCTCCGGTCGAGTTGTACAAATGCGAGGGGGGATGGTTTTGATGAGGTCATGTCGCGGAGCTCCCCCTTGTTGTGTAATAGCGCATCAATCTGATCGCCCGTTCGATGCATAAAGTAGCGTCGTCCCGCGCATCATGATCCTTCGGGTCAAGCAGGAAGAAGAGGGGAAAATCTACGCTTCACGGAGGATACTAACTGCGCATGATGCATGGCGTTTGTTTGAGTGTCGACCCGAAAGCTGGTGGTAATGACAAAGAAGTTCGATCCCAAGCGATCGAGGCAAAGAGATAGAAAGGGATCCAGTGGGGGGCCCTCTATAGTGCTCGTGTCTTGGGCTCGCAAACACTGGAATACTAAGTCGTTCTGTACTCTGAACAGGGCCGGTGCTCGGTGTAGAGCCGGTAAAATCTCGGGACACACGTCGGCACTATAGAGGCCTCCCACCGTAGCCCAAAGTCCCACACCAAGGACACCGGGTCCGAACAACCGCTCCTGCTTGCACCACCACATCACCACCGCTTTGCACGGATGGGGCAGGGCCAACAACAGCTTCCTTGTAGTGGTGATTTACAGCAGTTCATTCATCGCGTAGAAAGAAGGACACGACGAACAAACAGCCGTGGCCATCACAAAACACACACCACCCACGCACTCATGCGACCAAACAGGCACATGACGAACAGAGACCGCACAAGAAGCAAACAATCGAACAAGTAGTAGCATCTTAACAAGAGCACTCCCTTTTGTCCACATTTCACCGCACCGCACACGAACCAAGTAGAGAAAACATCAATAACAATATGAAATTCCGGTTGGACGGCGCGTTCCTTCTATTTCCTCCCCGCACCCATAGCAAACACACAACACGCAATGAGATCACATCATTCTGTACCCCCAGCAATACGCCTCAACACATCACACGCACTCTCGCATCATTGCACACAACATGCGCGCCCTTTGCCGGTTGCGCACCCCCCACCAGGCCAACAGAAAGGCCACAACTCCTCGCCAAACGCACGAAGGGCCGGGGGGCATCATCCCCCAACTCGTATGGTACACAACAACGCCGCATGTGAAAACCGTTCCCGTGTGCTAATGAATTCACCCTCTCGTTGCTCGCTCCCATCTCTCGTCCAAATATGGCGAGGCCCAACCACACGGCGAAACTCTAAAGGATGGGACCACATGTCATGTCTCGTACGTAGAAGAGCTCAACAGATAGCCAAGGCAACCAGCCAATCCATCAATGTGTTTGTGTCAGTGTCGCGTGTAGCAATACAATACAACTAAACCACGGCTATGGTTTACAACCAACAGATACCACCGGACAACAAACGAAAACTCCCGACACGTACCAGGACAGCTTGACCTTTGCCCCTGCCCCCTCATCGAGGAGTGTGAATCGCTTCAAACAAACAATCTAGTGTGCTACATACCCCCGACTTTATCTCTACATACAACTGGCCCGCACCACCCAACGAACACCCACAAGCATCATGCACGCGCGATGGAGAGATTCTCTATGACGTTCACCTAACACTCTGAACGCAAGAAAAGCGCAAAAAAATACGTATATACCGGCACTCCCTCTTTGAGGGTCACAGATCACACCCGATGTATATAGCATCGTCGAGAAAACCCTAGGCGAACTACCTCAACAAGACAAGGAACTAAATAGCTGATATAAGCGTGTGGGCGCGGGAGAGGGAGTTGATTGGCTGGTAAGTCAAGCGCGTCCACAAATTCAACATGCACTTCTTTCGCTGGCCGTGTACGGTACAGAGTGCATTGACACTCCGTAAGCAACGCGTAGGTACCCCTTTTCACATCAACCAACCAATCAGATAACTCACACGCTCGAACAGGAAAAACGAACAAACGCCACGAAAACATCAACCACGAATACAAACCACAACACCTCGACCAATCGGAGGACGTCTCTCTTGATGGGGCCAAAAAAAAAAAAAAAAATCAGAAGTCCTCGTCGAGGGTAAAGTAACCGGTTCCGTAGCGCTCCCTGGCGGTGCCAACGCCGCCGCCGCCGCCATTCCCTTGGCCGGCAGTGCCGTCCGCCGCTCCCTCCACTATCGTGACCCTACACGCGAACGACTTGGCCTTTTCCTTTCGCTTCGCTTCTTCGAGGGCCTCGAGTTGTCTCTCGCAAAGCTGACAAAAAAAAAGGACAAAAATAGCAGCAGCAGTAGGAGGTGGTGGTGGGGGAAATGGAAGGCTGGCGGGTGCGGGTATTTGGAAGTGCACGGCAGGGTGAACCAAGTTGTTCCGAGTTTCAATCCGCGTAAAGGCGTTGTTGAAACATCTCTTGAGGCGTGTTTTCGTGCGACTCAGCAGGCAGTTGCATTAGTAACCGTTGTTCGGCTCTACAGCAGTACGTAGAATCAACACGAAAGGGAGATGTTGGGTAATTAAACCAGCCAAGGGCAAATGGCCAGGCACTGACCGACTCTCATTGCCACGTTCAATAAACATTCCTACAGTACAGGGAGAGAGAGGGAGGGACACAAAAGCCTCGACAGACTCCCGTAGTACCCTTACAGCAGTAGAAAAAGCCTTGAAAATATCCTCTTGGCTTCGACAATGCTTCGCACGCAATGACTATATACTGGTGTTGCTCCTTTTGCTGCCGCCGGTGAACAACCGCTGGTAACCTGCTGGGTACTTGGTACTCTCCTGCGGTACTCAAAGCCTCAGCTAGAAGTGAGAAAATCTTGCATAATCCCGTGGTGGGACGAAGGAGACGACCCGTCTCGAACCGTATTGAACCCAAAGAACGTTATAGTGGTTGCTTCCCGCAAGACTCGTGACGGTGTAAATCCTCTCGCCCCTTCGATACTTGACTTGTGCAACGAATCAACATTATTTCAGCACTAGGGAACAACTGCAAGTCCAAATAGGACTGTCGTGTAGTCGTCGTGGGTGTTGTTCTCTCAACAGTCTTAACCATAATTATCACCCTCCTCTGCCGTGAGAATCCAGACAGTCAACGAAACCGCGCGTTGCGATCACAAACCCACCAAAACAGGGGAAGCACGAACAAAGCAGCAAGCAACGAACCAAGCAAGGTGCTCTGCAGGTGGTCTTGTTTCTCACCTCCCTGAGTTCCTCGATCGCGTAGAAGTCTGCCTCCTCCATGATTTCCTCGTACCGCCACGCTTCATCGAAGGAAGGGAGGCTCGAGCAACGGAGGAAGTTGAGCACGTGCCGAAACCTCTCTCCTAGAGATGGGGGGGGGAGGGAGAGAGAGAGAGAGAGAGAGAGAGGTCAGTGAGAGATAGCGGGGGTGGGGTGTGTGTGTGCAAGGCACTCCGAACGAACTTGGCACTGCTGCGTGCTGTATACGAGAGTCTGTGGATGCAATCGGGTTGGCACGCGTCTTTAACAGCAACAGGAACGTTGTCCTTGCCGGTTTTACACCCTCGGGATGACCAACACAAACGTCTGGCATAAGAACACCGAAGGGAGTGGAAGACGGAAGCATATGTAGGCACAGACCTGGGCTAATCGGGGCACGGTGTTGGTGAAGCAAAAAGCACACACCATTTGATACATTCCTGGGATGCTGTACGTGGGAACATCGACTTTGTTATACCCAGCAAAAGTAGCGCTCTTGACAACACACACGCCTACATGTATGTGATGATGTACGTCATTAGCACCGCAAAAAAAGAACGCGTGGTTTGCAGTCCTCCAACCAGTAATAGATATGCCACGACGGCGACGTCCAAGAGCCTGGGCACAGCCCCCTCCCACTGCGTGAGACAGGTGCATGCATGCATATCTGTACCCATATGTAGGTGTTTACCTGCAGCAGCAGCAGGTTGCTGCCATCAGGGAGCTACGCTACACTAGACAGCAGTAGGCGTTTATACGCACCGTCCCGGTCGATGAAGGCGAACCCTTCCTCGTCGGTCTCCATATTGAACTTTCCTCTGAACATGGAGGCCAGCATGCAGTTGCCGGCCTGCATGATGGTGGACCGCGACGTCAGAAACTTCTTGCCCCTGATACGACGGTAGCGAGAGAGAGAGAGAGAGAGAGAGAGAGAGAGAGAGAGAGAAAGAAGGGGGCGTGATGCAATACTTGTAGCCGATGAAACGTTCATTTCCACTGCTGTTGATGTGTGGAAGGGTGACTATCGCCAAAGAATTGCTTAGGGCAGCCGGTACCTAACGGCGTTTGGGAGGCTGGGAGTGGCTCCAGTGCGCATAAATGATTGCTCTCAACGAGCGGTGCGTTCAACACGTCACATTTGTGACATGGCTACTTCACGTGTGCACCCGCCGTTGACCTAAAAACGCAGTCACCGGAATCATTTCTCTCACATGTGCATGCATGGGTGTGATGGTGTGATCACGCAAGTATGTCAACGAAACAGCGGAGTTCTACTGCGTCCACACGCCATCTCCTAAAACCATCCGCTATAGCCTCTCTCCATTTCGTCGTCAATGTCAATCATTTCGTCGTCAATGTCAATCATGCCATGTAAGTTTCGTGGACACTTGGCCCCTTCGAGAAGCAGGAGAGGATCAAACTCAAGGACACCGAGAGCGCAGCTGCGGAGGAATCGGGGCAGAAGATGCTATTTATGTTCTTATTACAACTTGCAGGAGGACGTGGTAGCATTGCATGTATGTGTGCACACGCCTTGACGGTGCATTTCCAGAAATTGCTCAACCAACATACACAGACGACGACTGCCTTCATCGCCTCGTCTTCTCAAAGTAACAACAGCGTGGCGTGTGAGGCTATGTACAACCCCGTGCTCGCGCGGTGTCGATCGCATTATTTCCCGCCATGTTTCTTCTGTCATTTGTGTAGGTCGGTATTTGTGACGCCTCCCCCGCTGCTACGACCAGAGCAGACATTGCCCCCCCCCACACACGGGAGCGGTGCCAACGCGCGCCCCGTTTGCTGGCCACCACCGCCTGCCTTGCAAAAGGGTGAGAGACCGTGCGTTTCTCTTCTTTTCTCGAGCAAAATGCACCAACGGCGTGCCCTGCGCGCTATTATACCTCCTTCTCATGGATGGATGGATGGGCGGAAAAAAAGCAGGGCAGAGCATGTTATTGCATCCCCGACGGGCACGCCACTTACCCCACGTTTAGGCGGACGATCCCTCGTGAGCCCTGGCGGTTGTAGGATTGCTGCGTTGGCGCCGTAGACGGCGGCATCTCGGCCCCCTGGTGCTGGTGAGTGCTCGTGACCATGGTGTGTGTGTGATCGTGTTCAAGAGAATATGGCGCCAAGCAGGACAGACTAAAGCTCGACAGCCAAGTGTCTGCGGCAGTGTTCTATCTACCCCCAGAAAGTAGAGCGCTGGGCGGAATCCCTGAAACAGGTGCGTAGGGGTTCGACGAATTATTTCGCTTTCCCTTGCGGTCGTTTTGATGTTGTTGTTGACGATGTTGCTGCGACTGGCGAAATGGAGGTCTGTGCATGTGTGTGGTCAGTCAGTCTCATCAGGTGCAGAAAAAGAGTAACGGATTCACACCCACCCCCTCTATCCACAAAATGCTAAATCACTGTAGTACATACCCTGGTATACGTTAAAAATGACAATAGGGATCATGTTACCCCCAGTGATATACAAAATGCGAGATGAGAGGGGAGGGGGGTTGCTCGTTCTTTCCCTCCTACCTGATGCCCGGCTGCTGCGTTGGTGTGCATCACAATCACGCAAAGGACGACCGAGCAAGATAGACTTTTGGACCGAGATAGCGGGAAGGACGGGTTCGACTGAGCACAGCAGTTTTCGTTTGTGGCTGCACCGAACTTAGCGCCAGCTGTGTCCTTGGAGAAGGGGAGGCTTGGTTCGCTGATATCAGCGGGGTTGAGGCGGCCTGAGTGCTACATACCAGATCCGAAGACTCAATAGGTGAGAGTGCTGCGCTGCTCCGGAGTCTTGTGAGGCGACGCTGAGCTCTCGTTGTGCCTGGGGCGCTGTGTCTGTCTGCAAGTCACCGCTGCGAGGGCTTGCCGCTTGTTGGGGGTTGGGATGAATCGGGCGGGAACGCTGCAGGTCAGCATGGAAGGCACAGCACCGAAGCAGCAGCAGCAGCAGTGTTTTGTGGTACCTGACGGGCACATCCACACAGCAGTTGAACTACTGCTGTGCCCTCTTGTGCTGTCGCAGACTATCGCTGTACATGCCCAACGTCCAAATTTGCGGTGGTAGGCAAGGCGAGCACCGCTGGGCGCAAGCAACGGTTTCCTAGTAGTCCCCGCCGTGTACAAACACGTCGGGTTGGCGTTCGACGGGATACTGGCAATGACCCGTAAAAAAAAATCTGGCTCACCAAACAGCAAGCAAAGATCATGTCATGTGGTTCCCAACGTCCCGCGTCAAAGTACCCGCTGTTCTAGACCCTGTGGTCTATTTGCGTCCTAGCGCAGATATAGATATCACGCCTCTGCGTCGCCCGCGCCGTTTCCCAGGAATGATAACGGCTTCAGCGGAGAGTGAGTGAACACCCGCTAGCCTGTGTCTGCTAGACCCCTGGTAGTTAGCACACGTACAAATCACACCTGTGACACCTGTGTACACGTTGTAGCGCACAGAGGGTAGGATCGGAGAGATACTACTGTAAGCGTGTATGCATGTGTACGCCAGTAGACAGGAGTATGCGAGTAAAGCGCACCCGGAGGAATGACACCATGGGGTGTGCAGATAAGAAAAGAAAGCGCGATTTAATTGATTTGCGCACCGGTATCGGTGTTACCAGTAGTTATTTACCGCGATGACGGCGTGCTACAGCAGCAGCACGTTGCGCATACCGCACAAGGTGGCTTTGGCGCTGCTGTAACGGATAGTTGTTCCACAGGCCGACTAACTATTATACATACGATATTTGTGTGCTGTCTCATGCATATGCTCGGCATCGCACCGGAGGTACCTCCGACAGGCCAGCGATAGAGCCAGCAGGAAATCATTAAATGTTATTCTGTACGGAGGGTTTGGACCCATCGGGGGTATGGCACCAGGGGGGGGCACGAAATGTACACAGGGTGCGGTCACATCGACGATGACGGTACGAGCAACGGTTGCACATGTATCGCACACCGCACGTGGGTGCGCTTTCCTTTGGAGTAGGCACAGCAGCAGTGTGACGGCCCGCAATGGTCCGGAAAATCGTCCCCAACTAAAAAGTTGCTTGTTACGGAACAACAGCAGTGGTGGCAGGGATATGTGTCACAATCGTACTCTAGGGGAATGATGAAGTACTTCAACCCTTGTGCCAGCGTGTTGTGGCCAGCCTACAGCATCACGTCGTCGAATACCGATCGACCTGCGTACCTCGATTCCCACAGTTTGCCCGCGGTAGTGGGGTGACCCGCCGTGCGTGCGTTCTGTCTCAGCGATGCCATCCGAGGGCATGCAGGATCCCTTCGGAGAGACTCCGCCAAGAGCTTTTTCCAGACCCGTTGTTATCACCCTCGTAAAAGTCAGATATATTCCCACCGGAAACGCTAACGAGTCGAACTTACCCCTCCCCCCCCCCTTCATTACGGTGCTGCTTCAACTACCTTCCTACGAACTACATAGTTTTATTTCGCCATGGCGAGGGGATGCACCCTTGCCGTCGCGGTGGCGGCGCTCTCCGCCACCGCCTCCCCGGGAAATGCCTTCCTGGCCCCGCCGGCGCTGCCTTCCTCCTCGGCGTCGTCGTGGTTCGCCCCCTCCCGGGCCGTTGCCGGCGGCGAGTCGCTGCCGCCGCAGCAGCAGCGATCACCAGCGGGGGCGCTGCAGATGGTCGCGCAGCCCCCCGTCAAGCCCCAGAAGCTGGACAAGATCAACCTGCTGAAGCAGAACTCGGAGGCGTTGCGCGAGCCCGTGCGCAGCCAGATGCAGACGGAGGAGATATCAATCAGCCACGACGCGTACCAGATCCTCAAGTTCCACGGGAGCTACATGCAGGACGACCGCAGCCTCAGGAAGAAGGGGAAGGAGAAGGTAGGAGGGGGTGACGTACAAGTCGGGGGGGGGGAGGGGGGTTGTACTTATCGTCCCGTATCCCGTAGGGGGTGGACCACGGCCCTGGCATCCCTACAAAGCCGGGAGGGAACGATATGCCGGGTTTTCCCCGGCCCAGGTCCCGTCCGGGGGGGGGGGGGGGGGGGGTACGAGGTCTCTTCCTGTCTTCTGATGTGCTACCCCTGAGTTTTTCGCCCGCAACAGGTGGTTGGTGTGCTTCAAGACACCGCAGAACGATGGGGAAGAAGTCATAACTTTTGTGTTTGATGAGGGGCACCGCCGTTTGGGAAGCGTGTGCGGGGGGGAGGCGGCGGGGGTGCTAATTTGTTCACTTTTCCTGAGTCGTTGTTCAACCATCGACCGCGCATCCAACTCTATTGGACGATAGCACCGTTGCTACTTCTGACAGGGACTTCGCCGACATGGGGTGCCCTCTGCCTGTTTGGTAGTCGTTCCATGTTGTCTACCTGTGAGTGCTGTCGTCTACCGCGCTCGCTAAACCCATCCCCTTCGCTCTTCAACGCCCCCCCCGTGCTGGCATTGCGAGTGTATGTCATCCCATTTATTCAAGACGTCCGTCTTAACACATTTCGGTAGTCTTAATTCATCTTCTGAACGCGTCAGCCATGGTCACACAACAGCAGTACTTGATTGTTTTCTTGCCCTTTGAGAATACGAAGATGCCGACAATCACCCCTGCTTCATCAACATCGCGAAACCGACTTCGCAACCGCGCCCCCCCCCCTCATTGATCGAACACGGCAGGCCTACTCGTTCATGCTCCGGCTCAAGATGCCGGCCGGCGTGTGCTCCCCCGAGCTCTACACCCTGCTTGACGACCTCTCCCGAGAGTACGGGCACGGACACCTCAGGCTGACGACTCGACAGACGTTCCAGCTGCACGGTGTCGCCAAGCACAACCTCAAGACGGTCATCAAGGTGAGGAAGTAGGAGTGAGTTGCGACGGCAGAAAACCTTTGTCGAGCTGTGTTCTCGGGGTGGTTGCTTTTCCGGCTGCTGCTGCTGGTTGCTGGTGCTGCGCTGATAATTCGTCTGCTGTTCAATTGTTGTTGTTGCTTGCTGCGCGTAGTGCGGGGGGGGTGGAGGTTGAAACGGAGGGGCGTTGTTTGCGGAAACTGGGTAGAGGTGGGGATCCATTTAGGCAAGTTTTAGCACATGCAGACCCATCGCGCACCGTCTCTATTGCCTCGTTCTCCTGAGCAGCCATCGTATATATGCTTTTGCTTCTTTCCTACTTCCATTTTCGCTGTTGCGGCTAACCATCTGGCGCGTTCGGTTTGAAGGGCTCAAGCAGTAGTTTCCAGCCCACCTCACGACGGTCACCCTCTCCCCCAGCACGCGCGTTCATTTGTTGTTTGCCCCTCCCCCGGTTTCTCGTTCGTCTCACATCTCCCGCGTTGTGGTGCTGTGTGCTGCCTCACTCCTGCTGCTGCTGCTGCTGATGCTGATGCCGGTGCAACAGAGCATCATGCAGGTCGGGTCGAGCACGGTGGGAGGGTGCGGAGACGTGAACCGCAACATCATGTGCACTCCCGCGCCGATCGTTAACCGCCCGGAATACGTCTACGCGCGGCAGTACACGAAGGTACGCTTCGACGTGATGTAGTGCGAATCGATTGTGATGGCGTGGCGGTTTTACGTTTTTATCTGCATGCCCTCCCCCGCTTTGTTGTGCAAAATGGCCTGTTGTATATTTCGAACACCTAGACCACCGCCACATTGTTGCTTCGGTTTGGTTTTGTCGCTTGTCTCAGAGCGCCGCCTAAGTTCAGGAAGTCTTCCGATAAGCTGTTTTTTTTTTTTCTTCCCCTGGGCCCTTTCACGTCCTACAACATATTCCCACAAGACCCATTATTCATGATGGCGGGCTACCATCGTAGCTGGACAGCGCTGTGGCATGGGATGTCTAGTGTCAAATTGCCCGAAACCATGCATAGTCTAAGGACACAGCAATGTTCAGCCAACCTTTTTCTGCGGGTCACCTCTCTTTCAACCATGCTCGCACGCACCCTGCCCTCCCCTCCCGCCTCCCTCTGCCGGGGGTGCTCCGTCTGAACGGCCGTTGAGCGTCAACAGTAGTCGGACGACCCAGGTAAGTTGGAAACAAGCTACCCATCCCCCCCCTTCGCGAAAGAATCCCAACAGCCAGCCAACAACCGAAAAGGCAGTAGCAGCCCTACAGCAACAAGAACTACAACGTTTATTCCTCATTCAGCGTGTTTGACAATGATTGTGCGCTCACCAACATGCAACAGCCCCCCCCACACTACCGCAGATCTTGGCCCGGTGAGAACCCGGAGTGCTCCGTCCCGGCTTTGTAGGGATGCGAGGTCAATGGTCTAACGACTACCGCATGCACGACTATGAGGACCCCCCCCCACCCCCCGCCCCACTAACGCAGATCTTGGCGGAGCTCCTCCGCCCCCTGTCCTCGGCCTTCACGGAGCTGTGGCTGGACGGCGAGAAGGCGGCCACGGTGGAGTGGCGCGACGACGTGGACGATGCCCTGAAGGGAGCGGACGTGGACCAGGAGATGGTGAAGGACAACGGACGCGGGATCGTGCTCAACCACCCGGTGGAGCCGCTGTACGGCGACATCTACATGCCTCGTGAGTTTGTGTGTGTTTATGTTGCCGGTACTGTAGGGGGAGGGGGGGGGGGGGGGGGGGCCCCTGGGGAAAATTGGGGGGGGGGGGGGGGGGGGGGGGGGACCCTTTTTTGGTTTGGGGGAAATTTTTTAAAATTGACCCCCCCCCCTCTTTAGAAGGGGGACCCCTCCCCCCTCCCAAAAAAAAAACCCCCCAAATTTGGGGGCCTTTTTCTTTTTTCCCAAAAACCCCCAAAAAATTTTTGGGCAACTTAACCCCCCCCCCCAGGGGCCCTTGGGGCCCCCCCCCAACCCCCAATAAACGGAACGTTTTTTTCCCGGTGGTTAAATTAACAAAATTTGCCCTGGATGGTACACCCCCCCTGTTCCATTTTCCCCCCGAAAACCCCCCTTTTCTTTCCGGAAAAACCCAACCCCCCAAAAAAGGGGGGGGCACCCCCCCCCCAATTTCCCCAAGGAAAAGGGGGGTCATCCCCCCCCCCCCCCCCCCCAAGGGGGGGAAAATTTTTCCCCCCTTTGGGGAAGGCCAAAACCCCCAACCAAAAATGGAATTTTTCGTTTTTCCCCAAAACCCAGGGGGCGGCCAAAGAATTTTTCCACCCCAACCCCTTTTTAAAATTCCCGAAAAAACCCAAAGGGGT